ATATGGCAGGCGACCAGCTTGGCTTAACGGTGAAATCCTAGCGGATCTTAAACATAAAAAAGAAGCTTACTAGAAGTGGAAGGTTGGACATATGACCAGGGAAGAGTATAAAAATATTGCTCGGGCATGTAGGAATGAAATCAGGAGGGCCAAATCACACCTGGAGCTGCAGCTAGCGAGAGATGTTAAGAGTAACAAGAAGGGTTTCTTCAGGTATGTTGGCAACAAGAGGAAAGTGTGGGCCCCTTAATGAATGAGGGAGGCAACCTAGTGACAGAGGATGTGGAAAAAGCTAATGTACTCAATGCTTTTTTTGCCTCTGTCTTCACGAACAAGGTCAGCTCCCAGACTGCTGTGCTGGGCATCACAACATGGGGAATAGATGGCCAGCCCTCTGTGGAGAAAGAGGTGGTTAGGGACTATTTAGAAAAGCTGGACGTGCACAAGTCCATGGGGCCGGACGAGTTGCATCCGAGAGTGCTAAAAGAACTGGCAGCTGTGATTGCAGAGTCATTGGCCATTATCTTTGAAAACTCGTGGCGAATGGGGAAAGTCCCGGATGACTGGAAAAAGGCTAATGTAGTGCCAATCTTTAAAAAAGGGAAGAAGGTGGATCCTGGGAACTACAGGCCAGTCAGCCTCACTTCAGTCCCCGGAAAAATCATGGAGCAGGTCCTCAAAGAATCAATCCTGAAGCACTTACATGAGAGGAAAGTGATCAGGAACAGTCAGCATGGATTCACCAAGGGAAGGTCATGCCTGACTAATCTAATCGCCTTCTATGATGAGATTACTGGTTCTGTGGATGAAGGGAAAGCAGTGGATGTATTGTTTCTTGACTTTAGCAAAGCTTTTGACACGGTCTCCCACAGTATTCTTGTCAGCAAGTTAAAGAAGTACGGGCTGGATGAATGCACTATAAGGTGGGTAGAAAGTTGGCTAGATTGTCGGGCTCAACGGGTAGTGATCAATGGCTCCATGTCTAGTTGGCAGCCGGTGTCAAGTGGAGTGCCCCAGGGGTCGGTCCTGGGGCCGGTTTTGTTCAATATCTTCATAAATAATCTGGAGGATGGTGTGGATTGCACTCTCAGCAAATTTGAGGATGATACTAAACTGGGAGGAGTGGTAGATACGCTGGAAGGCAGGGATAGGATACAGAGGGACCTAGACAAATTGGAGGATTGGGCCAAAAGAAATCTGATGAGGTTCAATAAGGATAAGTGCAGGGTCCTGCACTTAGGACGGAAGAACCCAATGCACAGCTACAGACTAGGGACTGAATGGCTAGGCAGCAGTTCTGCGGAAAAGGACCTAGGGGTGACAGTGGACGAGAAGCTGGATATGAGTCAGCAGTGTGCCCTTGTTGCCAAGAAGGCCAATGGCATTTTGGGATGTATAAGTAGGGGCATAGTGAGCAGATCGAGGGACGTAATCGTCCCCCTCTATTCGACATTGGTGAGGCCTCAGCTGGAGTAGTGTGTCCAGTTTTGGGCCCCACACTACAAGAAGGATGTGGATAAATTGGAAAGAGTCCAGCGGAGGGCAACAAAAATGATTTGGGGTCTGGAACACATGACTTATGAGGAGAGGCTGAGGGAACTGGGATTGTTTAGTCTGCAGAAGAGAAGAATGAGGGGGGATTTGATAGCTGCTTTCAACTACCTGAGAGGTGGTTCCAGAGAGGATGGTTCTAGACTATTCTCAGTGGTAGAAGATGACAGGACAAGGAGTAATGGTCTCAAGTTGCAGTGGGGGAGGTTTAGGGTGGATATTAGGAAAAACTTTTTCACTAGGAGGGTGGTGAAACACTGGAATGCGTTGCCTAGGGAGGTGGTGGAATCTCCTTCCTTAGAAGTTTTTAAGGCCAGGCTTGACAAAGCCCTGGCTGGGATGATTTAATTGGGGATTGGTCCTGCTTTTGAGCAGGGGGTTGGACTAGATGACCTCCTGAGGTCCCTTCCAACCCTGATATTCTATGATTCTATGGACGGGCTTGTATTCAGGCAGGCAGCCTGTGCTGCAACATCCATTTTTAGTGTGCTAGACATACAAGCTTTGCTTGAGCTCTCTACCCAGGCTGGGAGGCATGCTTCCAGCTGCAGTGTAGACATACCCCAAGGTTGATGCATCTTAGGATCTTCAAAAAGAAAAGGAATACTTGTGGCACCTTAGAGACTAACCAATTTATTTGAGCATAAGCTTTTGTGAGCTACAGCTCACTTCATCGGATGCATACTATGGAAACTGCAGAAGACATTATATACACAGAGACCATGAAACAATTATTATTTTAATAATATTTTAATATTATTAAGGTATTGTTTCATGGTCTCTGTGTATATAATGTCTTCTGCAGTTTCCATAGTATGCATCCGATGAAGTGAGCTGTAGCTCACGAAAGCTCATGCTCAAATAAATTGGTTAGTCTCTAAGGTGCCACAAGTCCTCCTTTTCTTTTTGCGAATACAGACTAACACGGCTGTTACTCTGAAACCTTAGGATCTTCAATACTCTTAAGTGGACGAGAGCTTGGGTTCTCCTCTGCCAGTGGGGCTTCCAGCATCTCAATGCGCCCTAAAACTAAGCTGGGGCATCATCTCAGCAAAACCTGCTCGACTCCATCACTAACAGCACTTCCTGCAGTGTGCTGGGTTTTTCTTCGAGGTCTCCCATTCAGGTCTGATCCTGCTTAGTTTTCGAGATCAGAACAGATCACAGCCCCAAATGGTTTGACGGATGCAGAGAGAACAGTGTGTGTGTGTGTGCGCAAACCCATGATTAAGTGATAGCAACAGAGCCTCAGATGTCAAGGGACAGAGAAACCATCAACAACATCTCAAGACAAAAATGGACGAAAAAAAATTGGAGAAATATCACTGTGCAGAAAAAGGTATTAAAAATGAAGCATCTGTGCTGCAAGCCATTATAGGCCCTTGACAGATGTGATCTTACCAGCCTCCCACTGTAGCTGCAAATAAAGACCCAGTCTCTTTCTTCTCCCCGGACAAGGATTAATGAGTACTTGGGATAGCTCTCAGACTAGCAAGCAAAGGCTGTGAACCTTTTCCAGTGCAGCAATTTATCTTGGGATGACTATTCACATCACTTTTTTTGCAAGCTGGATTATGCTCTGACCCAGCACATTAATCTCCCAAAATAAAATAATAACAATAATAGAAAAAAAAAAAGAACTGGACAATCGCCAGAGATAAATTAATAACCATCTCAAGTACCCCTGGTGCACAGGAACAAACAGCTCAACTCCCCTGCCACCCATCTTATTTATAAGCATAACTATTCCTGCTTTAAAAATTCCCTTTAAGTGCTTTGCCTGAGACTTTCAGTGAGGGATGATGATAGTAATATCTTGCATTTATATAGTGTCTTTCATTCCAAAGGCCACCAAAGTGTCTCCTTACAAAATTTAACTGATCCACAAGCTCTACTTACCACATCCATCACTGGTGACGGGTTGGGGGTGGGGGCAAAGAGAACATGACAGCTCTAATTGTGAACAGGAACTTTACACAACTGTTTAGGACAGGAAGTGAAAAACCATCATACACTGAGACCTAGTCTACACACAGTTTCAGTATCGATGGAATAGGTTCAGTTAGGGATGCAATTTTCTACTGAAATAGTTAAATGGGTACTGCACCTGCTTTGGGTGCAAAGGTGCCAATATAGCTTTCCCCCTTCCCTTACAAGAATGAGCTATACCCATATAAGTCACCTTCAGACCCACAAAACTGCATCCACACAGGAAGGAGGTGTTGTGCTGCTTTAACCTGTGTGCAGACAAACCTTTAGGGTGATATAAAGTAATTATTTAAGCTGGAATGTTCCCAGAACACTGGGGTTAACACATCTATTCTTGTAAAACTATAAAATAAAAAGAGTGTTACAGGTCTGCAGTGAACACAAGAGCCCAGAACCAGAGTTTCACATCTCATCCAAGAATCACAGCAGCATAATGTACCCTAAACATGCTGGGGGATTGGATAAGTACTGGCTCAGAAGGAAGAATACCAGCATCTCTGAAGATCAGCCCCCACCGGCCCCCGGGGGGGGGGAGGGAGCAGAGATCTCAGGTTCAGTGCCCAAAATTAGAAACTACTTTTTTTAAACAAACATACACCTGCCATAAGAACTCAAATGCAAGAGCACTGAGATCCCGCATGCACATCAGGAAACCAAGTCCATAAAATGAAATGGATTCTAAACATGAAGTGACACTGGCCTGTTTAGTTTCATTGTACACAATGAGTGATGATAGAATTCAGGGTAAAAAACAAGAATGGTGAGGGAAGGGAGAGAGATTGTATCAATTAATAAGTACATATAACAGAGAAGTTTCTATCAGTTCTACAGTCAGTCAGAAAAATAACCCAGGAAAAATGGTGCAAAAATGTTACCAAAACTTTCCAGGATGTTTTCTTCCCTAACATCACATTTTCATCAAAATGTTGATATTTGAAAAATTGTGACCAGTTCTACTACATACATGGTAAATCAGATTTTTAAAATTCCATTTTAATAATTTAAGGTGTTATCAGTTACAAGGATACGGATGCTTGTCTTCCACAAAGCATGCAATTTTTATCACTTTAATTTACTGTTTTTCCAGCAGTGGGAGGAAGGGGGGGGGGTTTCTTCACAAAAGGCTACATAGTGCAAACTGCCCACAGCCTGTAGCAAGGGGCAGTGCTTCACTCTCACCCATTGTTGTTGGCTATAGCCCCACCTCCCCCCTTCCCTTTTTGGAGCAATATGCAGTTCTGGGAGGGAGGGAGCCAGCAGCCCTCACCCTACCTTGAACATAGGAGTGAAAATCTGTCTGGTCCTTGCACAAATCATGCAAGGGTTTGGGAAAATGGAGACTCCATTGCCTTTGCACACCCAGGCAAGGACCAAGCAGAATCTGTATCTAACCTCAGAGGCATAGTTTCATTGTGTGGCTCCCATCAGACAAGGACCAGGAAGAAAGCAGAGTCCTTTACCTTTGACTTGACGGCCAGAATGATTTTAGGCAGGGCAACGACCAGGCATTTCAAAGAGATGGTGAGATACTTCAGCACAAAGTCCGTGATCCCCACAGTCCACATCAGGTCAAAGAAATCCAGGCTCTCCAGGTTGGGTTTCAGAAATATCAGGCTGAAAAGCAGGACAGCAAGACCCAAACATTAATGAATGGCACATCATCTGCCCTTCATCAAAGCTCCAGTACAAAGAATGGGCCCAGGGACTCCACCAAACGTGAGCACAGGTTCTTAAGAGCAAGTGTAACAGGAGTAAGGTCAGCAGGTTAGTCCCATAGTCCCTCCAGGCCTTTGACCCAGGCCTGCTCTTATCCAGCCCCACTGAGGTCAATGGCTTCAGACTTGCCCATTTTCAATAAAGGGAACATAGTCATCCACAAAGCCTATGGTGGAAGTTAACCCCTGCACTCCAGGCCAATATAAGAAACTTCCCTCCAGGGGGGTGTTCCCAATATCAGCAGCTCTGGTCTCCAAGTTTTCCCCCTCCATCCTATTCCTGAAGGAAAAGCCACCTACATCTCTCCATCTTTACACTGGGGAATGCTCTGAACCATGCACTCCACTGCAGTTCAGAGCCGCGCTGTGGGTCGTTGCCATTCCTCAGTCGGAACAGCGCAGGCCAATCCAAGAGCACCGTGCTCTGTAGACCAGTCTTGAAGCCCCACAAAAGCACATTCTGGCAAAAGCAGAACTACTGCAGGTACAGTATTCTCCACAGCACCAAGCTGGCTGGGTATGCAGGGCAGGCATGTGACAAGGGCAGCATCGCATTAGACATAGAACGCTCGGGGCCATTCAGCATGGGGTAATTGCACTGAGACAGTGGCTCACAAACTTCTGAGGCCGACTAAGAGCTGAGCTCTGTGAATCAGCATCGCCGATTGAAGCGCATGTATTCCAAACCTATAGAAAGTGGAATCCAAGCTCGGTCACAGATTCCAGCAAAGACAAACTAATGGGAGGTGGAGAGCAGTGACCCAGCAGGGCTCAGCATGCAGACCCTGCAGCTGCAAAGGATCCTGGGGCCGCAGAAACCAGCATGGTTCTGCTGCAGAGCGACAGAAGGCTGGATTCCAGGCGGCTGTTCAAGGTGTACATGCTCCATGTGCGGCATTCAGCCCAGCAGCTCACACTGAACAGGAAGGAGCGGGGCATGGGTGGGGTAGGGTCAGAGTATCCACTGCGGCACACATGATCTGATTAAGCCCCTCACATGCGTTGGGGACACATTAGGGAATGTGCAAGTCTACTTCAGCCATGGGCTAGAACAGCCTTCACAGAGCAGCAGAAAGATGCCTCTCTTTTTCCTCCTCCTGCCACCCCCCCGTTCAGCAACTGGGGCTGGACACTGAGTTGAATATTTGCTCCCTTAGGTAGGAGGAGCCTAGGGTACCAGTATTTCAGGATATCACTGCATGGGGTACCAATTAAATCAGGACCTTCTTCAGCAGCCACAAGGGGCTTCTTGTCGCTATTACTGTCCACCAAGCTCTCTCATGTGAAAAGCAAAAACTTAACAAGAAAAACCCAAAACAAAAAGCCTGAGCATGAAATTAAAATACTCACAACTCTGGCACAGCACAACAGGTAAAATTAAACCCTAAAAACAGAAACAAAATCAGAGACTTAAATATTATTGTGGGCTAGGAAAATAAATACACAAAAACAGCAGCAAAATCAGGAAATGAAAAATAACTGAAAGGAACAAAAAGCAAATGGCAATTTCTAACCTCACAAGCCTGTGCAGGACTCTGGGCCCCAGTGCTGCCAGGGTCTCCACATAGACAGACCTCTCCATCCACACGGAGCACTGCTGAAGTCCAGGGGACTCTGCATGGGGCTGCTTGGCAGATCAGGCCTTGGTATGGAACTCTTTGTCAGCCTTTTCAATATATTTAACCCTTTCACATCAACACACCACTCCCCAAAGAAAGGGGCACAATATTCCTGTTTTGCTGAAACTCTTTGAACTAACCTGCCCCTCTCCCAGCCCACCTCTGCTGTTCCTTTCCAAATCTGCCTGGCCTCATCAGCTCCCCCACACCTCCATCTCACCTTCCAGCTCCCCCATTCCCCGATCATCATCCTCATCAGATCCCCCACACCCCCATCTCACCCCCGCTGCTGCTCAGAGCCTCCCAGCAGCCTGCTTGCTGCCTTCTGTTTCCCAGCTGCCCACTATGGCAGCCTTTCCAGCACATTCTCTCAACCTGTTTCTCCTGTTCCACTCTGACCCAATCCTTCCCTCCAGAGCCTCTGAACTGAACTGCAACTTTCCCTTCACTCGTCTGCTTCCAGTCTGATTCATACTACAGCAGCCCCTTCACTCCAAACACCCAGGCAGAATCCCAGATGAGAGTCATATTTTTTTTAAATAAAATAATTCAGAGTGTCGGGGTCAAATGAAACTCATTTTTCTCCAAGCAACAGTTAAAGACACAGGTATTTCTAATAACTGCTAATGACAAATTTGGTTTAATAAAGCAAATTCAGATGGGTGCCATGGTTCTGAGCGTACAAACGGTCTACCAGTCAATGTGCATTTTTTCCAGGGAAGAGATGGTTCTATTACCGCTGCCTTATCACAATTAAAAATAGAAACACTCTACCTGTGATGTCATCTAAGCTATTGTTGCTCATCTGATGCAAGACTGTTCAATACAATGCATAATCCAATGATTTCTTTAATATATACAGTTCCAAGTCTCAATCAACACTGTCAGTGGGACTCCCAAAACTTCCCTTGGGAAATTATTCCACAGGGGTACAGATCTCACTGTCAGACCAATTTTCTTAACGTTTGGCCTAAATTTGCCCTTGCATCATTTCACCCCATTTATCCTAGTTACACTTGCTTAGCCTAACTCCAATAGCTTCTCCTATTTTTAGCATTTAATTCTTCCTTTGTCACTGTAACAAGAGATTGACCCCAACCAAAACCCTCAGCTTCGGAAAAGTTGAGCTCCATAACTAAATTTGGAGACTGCCCCTATTTGCACCAGATCCAAACACCCCCAAATGCTGGGAACATTTGGCTCTGGATCCAAATCTAAATGTTACTACTCAAGTCCATCTTTAGTAACAGAGTAAAAAGCCTGATACATAGCAATGGAAAGAAGCCATTTTGGGAAGGGAAAATGAATGTCAGTATTATCATCTGGTTCCAGCACTCAGGCTCTCTATATCTCAGTTACACCATGATAGAAAATCCCAGCTTCCATGGGCAAAAAGTGACCCGCATGCTTTCCCTCCATTTACCGTAGCAGAGATGGCAGATTCCATGGAACTACACTTTCATCTCACAAAAGTGTGAGAGAAGGTGGGCACCCTCTGTTCCACCCTGGCAATTACTGCCTGTTTCCACCAGGCAGGAGTTACCACATGCCCACCTGTTGTATAGCTGCTGGGAGCTGAAAGTGTAAAGCAAGTATAAGGTATTCCCCAGGAGGAAGGCCAGGATCCAGAAGACAATCAGCACCGACCTCTTCTCCTGAGCACAAACAAGAGGCAGACAAGACATATTCAAAAGTCTAAAGGGAACATGCATATTGTGCACAAAGCCTTTAACTGCTGAAAAATGTGAGACCAACCCAGGGGACAAACACACACTTCTGAGCATTCAGTAATTAGTTATTTACATGGGAGTGAGACATAAAAATAGGCAGCAAGGTACAGACATAGATAAACAGGACCAGAATCTGCTCTCGTTTACTTTATCAAGCACAGTTACTCCATTGAAATCAAGGGAATTACACTGGCAGAAAGGGAGAGTCAGACCCACATAACCCAGTTTTCAAAGGTGGGTGCCTCAACAGGACATCCAAATCCTACATGCTTACACTCAGCTTGATAAGTAGGAGCAGATATGCTGTACCATAGGTCTGAGCTTCCATAAGCAGGATCTAGATGGCCTTATCAGGGGACACATTTGATAACTGGACCTATCACATCTAAACATGTAGCTTTCAAAACAATATATTACCTAGACTCTTTTAGACCATTATCATACCTAGAACATACTGCATAGAGCATAAATGGACAGTGTTTGGATGCAGGGTGGTTTCAGAGCATGTGATATAAGCAAAAAACAACCGAACAGATGAAAGAACCAACAGTAGCGTAAATTCTACATCTGTGAAGATGGGAATGAATGACAGAATATTAGATCCTAAACTCAGCACGTGTGAAGGTCTGAAGGTTGCCTCTTCTGAGCCTTGGACCAGCGTAATTTTGAGAAGGAAATTCCCCATTTGGGAGGGAAAATGAGAAAGAATTTTTCGGGCAGGTTTATTTAGTAAAAATGTGGCTCTGTGAAGCTGTTCAGAGGAATGCTAGATTGAGTCTTCAAGCTAACGTATTAATGGGCAGGGTAAGGTTTGGCAGTCAAATGTGCAAGACAGAGATAATTAATACCTAATTGGGCAATTTATCCCATCAGTCTGCATTTTGTCACATTTATTTCATTACCACATGTGCATAATTATATATTTATGCCACTCACATATCAGCTATATGAAAATGCAGCCCCAACCTGGCACTGCCATGCTGTTGAGATATCCCAATGAGACTATTAAACATGATACCTGAAGAAGCCAATTGGTTTATTTAAGATGTAACCAGAACACCAAGTATATTAATAAGTAATACTTCTATAGCATCTTTCATCTGAAAATCTACAGGCTCTCTGTAAGCATTAATGAATTAAGCCTCACCACATCCTGGTGAAAGGGGCATTATTATCCATTGTTACATATAGGCAAACTGGGGCACATAGCTGTTGCTTGAAGTTGCACTGCAAATCAGTGACAGGGCCAGGAATAGAAACCAGTTCTGATTTTTCATTCTCTAATCACTATACCAGGCTTCCAGCAAGACAGGGAGGCTGTGTGGGGCAGGGAGGGAACAGAGTGTTCATATATGTAAAAAAAATCTGTGCACATTCATTGTTTCATCCACAAAGTGCAAGACAAGATCTGGCATCAGCATTATGTTGCATATTAAGAGCAATGTCTCAGGAACACCATAGAGCAAGATACCGTACTCACCTTCAAAGAGACCTGTTCTCGGAGAGTTGAGTTAGCATATGCAAATGTGCTGGCCATACCAATGCACACAGCAATCCCTGCAAGGAAAGACACGCATCAAAGGGCTGTTGAGCTGGGGAGGCAGTATTCACATTGTTAAATTATTTTATACTCAAAGTTTTAGGTTTAAAGCAAACAAACAAACACCACACCTGTAATTGTTGGATATAGTGGGGGATGCTAACACACTGGCTGCTAAGCTCTGGAGAGCGGGGTTCAGATCACAAGCCAAATTAACGTGAATGTGTCATGGCCATTTCCAGTGCGTATATGCCCAGAAGCACAAGCTGCCACCCAGTCTAATACAATACTGAAGAAATGGCAACCTCTGTTCAAGAGAGACCCAGGAACACAATAGCAAAGGCACTGCAGAGCATGCCCGAGTTGCACGAACAGAGCTAGGGAAGGAGGGAAGACTGGAATAGCAGCTGGTTCTGCAGATCAAGACTGAGGTGCACTGGCAACGCTATGTTGTGACCCACTAAGGGATCTGGATGCCCAATTCCCATTCAAATTAAAGGAAACTGGGTGCCCAAATCCTTTAGGCAGCTTTGAAAATCTCAGTTGTAAAGTTTAACTGGTGATCCCATCAGATCCCATCTCCCAGCTACCATCCTTCCAGCCAAGCACAATTTGAATCCCTTCTGAGACTTTCAGTACCACACAAGATCTGACCAGCAGAGGCTGCTGTAAGCATTCCCATCCCATCTGTCCCTTGGAGAGGTCTGAGTGAGAATGGAGAGGGGCAGGGAGAGAGACCAAGACAAGGAACAAAACAAGAGTCTGCCACATGGCAGGACAGGACATAAAACATGGACCTCACTCAGCTGTAACAGCTAGTAATGACATTAAAGGGGAAGAAAAGTCAAGATGCCTAAAGACAGGTAGCTTCACCCCTGACCGCCTAGGTCCCCTTTACCCACTGAATTTGCTACCTCTAAGAATTCTTACAGAGATGAACACAGCAGACACTGCGGACACAGGACACAGTTGCTGAACCACCCTCTCTCAACCTTGGAACCAAATGAAAATGGCGAGTTGGCTGCTTACCAAGCTTATGCTGGAAACAAACTTTAGCCAGGAGTATCAGGATGAAGGGAAGCCCCTTCTGGAGCCAGCAGATCACAGCCTTCAGCTCCGAGAGGGCAGGGGCAGGAGTCCCAGGCTGGTCCTCAGGATTGTCTTCTGCGTGTCCGTGTCGGTCTCCACTAGCCATGTGCAGCAGAGAGGATCCCCGATGGTGGCCATGGTGATAGTGATGGGGCTGCTGTCGGTGGTGGAATGGAGCTCCTTCTGTTCGGCTGGCCCCTTCTTCCCTTGGGGCTGGCATCTGAATGAACACATCCCCACCTCCTGCTGAGGAACCCAGGACCAAACCTGACTGGAACGGGGTAGTTGGGATGGTACCAGATGGGATGCCTGCCAGCCCCGAGAAGAGCTGCTGGGGTGAGGGAGTTTCGGACTTCAAACCTTCGAAAACTCCACCTTCCTCCACGCTGGTCTCAGAACTGACCGTCTGACTCCGGCTTCTGCAATGGGGAGAGAGACCCCACAGCGGGAACCATCAAACAACCAGCTGTGCACTGGGAAAAGCATCCTCCTGATTCTCCAGAGCACCGAGGCTGGATTCGATTCACCTTGGCATGGCTGGAGTCGTTAGGCAGTTCAATGGTGCTGGTCAAATACTGTTGCTTCCCCCACCCCCGTATGGGTCATAAAGTTCCTGAGCTCCTCGCTGGCTTTTTAAATCAGTGTTGGAGGGTTCCCAAAAACAGCACAGTTACCGGCCAATTCAAAACTGTACATCATCTCTAAAATGGTTTTGACAGTAAACACATAGTGTGTGCAAAACACCGTGGGCGGTGGTGTACGTTTTTTATCGGTACGAATCTGAGATGGCCACACTACCCACGAGTGAATTAACTGTGTCATTCCAAATAAATGACCTAACAGCTCCACTTGCCAGGCTCTTCCCACTTTATTTAAGGGTGACCAACTGCCATCCTGGCACTGTCTGGAGGGAAAGCCAAATGACAACAACATGGGTGTAGCGGGGTGGCTACCCCACTCCTAAAATAGAAGAGGTTAAAAGCAGCTCTGGAGAGGGCTGTGGCTGGCTGATTGGGGAAGCAGCCACAGCTGGGCCACACCCCAATCAGGCCCCAGTTGGCCTGTATAAAAAGGCTGTGAGCCAGAGGCCCAAGGAGTCTCTCTCCAGGCTGGGAGAGAGCAGGGCCTGGCTACCTGCCTGACAGGGGTCTGAGGGTGGCACAGTGCTGGGGAAGGAGCAGGCTGAGTGGGGCGCTCCAGGCGGCAACTCCGCAGGCTGTAGGGCCTAGTCCAAGGCAGAGGAAGACAGTGGGTCCGAACACCCTTGCCTATGATGAGTGGCCTTTACACTGCAGTCTGCCCCAGGGAGCAACGGCTTGGTGATGACTGGCACTAGCCCAGACTGCGGCAAGGTGGGAACAGTGGGTTGGGGATTCCCCAGGAAGGGGAGTCCCAGAGGCAGAGTGTGGGGGTACTGCCAGGGGGCAGAACCCCGGAGAAAGGGGCACCAGGGTCTGTGAGGGACACGGGGGCCAGAGCTGTGTGGATCACCAGCCTACAGAGGGTGCTCCAGGCTGGAAAAGAGCTAATTCTCAATGACCAGCAGGAGGCGCCGCAGGGGTGAGTCTGCCCCTTCACAATGGGGTAGAACAGCCAGAAAGAGCTACTTCCCTGTCACATGACCCAACAGGGGATTTAAGGGAAGAGACTATCCACCTGCATTTGTTTTGGTGGTGCACATGAATTTCATGTTTCACTGATAAATTATGCCCTGAGACAAGGGTCTGAAACAGACTTCAGCATAGCATTTGTCCCTTCCTGTGCTGGGGATACAGCCCACCACCCTACAGAGAGTTTCCAAGAAGACAGGTTTCAGAGTAACAGCCGTGTTAGTCTGTATTCGCAAAAAGAAAAGGAGTACTTGTGGCACCTTAGAGACTAACCAATTTATTTGAGCATGAGCTTTCGTGAGCTACAGCTCACTTCATCGGATGCATACCGTGGAAACTGCAGCAGACTTTATATACACACAGAGAATATGAAACAATACCTCCTCCCAGCCCACTGTCCTGCTGGTAATAGCTTATCTAAAGTGATCATCAGGTTGGGCCATTTCCAGCCATTTCCAGCTGGAAATGGCCCAACCTGATGATCACTTTAGATAAGCTATTACCAGCAGGACAGTGGGGTGGGAGGAGGTATTGTTTCATATTCTCTGTGTGTATATAAAGTCTGCTGCAGTTTCCACGGTATGCATCCGATGAAGTGAGCTGTAGCTCACGAAAGCTCATGCTCAAATAAATTGGTTAGTCTCTAAGGTGCCACAAGTACTCCTTTTCTTTTTCCAAAAAGAAGTTCAGGAATCTCATTATTTCATCCTAATGCTACATGTCAAAGGAAAATATGCTCTGTTTGTCTGTGCTCAGTGGCATGGCTCTACAGTGAATGTATGGAAGGTCTGACCCCATGTGACAGAGGAGACAATTCCCAAAGCAAGTCGCTAGCGAAGAAAATGCCCAGTGCAAAGTAAACACTTATAAACACTGACAGAGAGAGTAAAGAATAAATACAAAGATCAGCAATAGGTTGAACCCACAAATAGACACTCAGTGCAGCGCTACAGTCTCTCCGGATCCTAATCCCTGGAAGCCTCCAATTTTAGAAACCGTGATCACGAGCTGAGATTACACAGGCGCATACAGTGCCCACACCTTCCCGTAGCCCATCTCTCCCCCCCGAGCCCATAACGCTCCCTAGACCTCTTACTTGGCACACAGCTTTGCCTTTCATCTTGCTCTGGAACCAGCTCCAGCTCCCTCTTGGGCACTTTCCCACTAAGCGAGCTCTAAACAAGGCTTTTCATAGTCACACCCCACTCCCAGAGTCTCTGTGCAGGCACCCGCAAAGACTCAAAGCAACCAGATACTGTACCTTTTTCTATGGTTCAGAATTAACCAGATACATACTGGATGACACACTTAATGCCTTGAATCAGGGTGGGACACCAGTAGCAATTCTGTATTTATCTCCAAAAACATAAACATCGACAATATAACATAGCTGGGGCAGCTCCATATGCCAATCAAGTACACTGATGTTGTTTGGAACAATGCTATTAAGACTCATGATTATTCCTCCAGCAGGGAAGAGGTTAACTAGCCACTAGTTAAAAAGGGATACTGTGAAGGTAAACATTATGGGTGAAATCTTGGCTCTCCTGAAGTCAATAGGAGCTTTGCCACTGACTTCAATGGGACCAGTATTTCTATATATACATATATATATTTAAATAACCCTTGCCCATTAGTTAGTGAAAGTTAGTGAAAATATTTGATTCTATTAAAAATGAAAGTTTTTAAAGTCCAGTTTACTTTACATTGCTTACTTTTTGTATTTGATAATGATACAAATCCTGAATTTGTACAGCACCTTTCATGCTAATCAATCCCAAAGTGCTTTACACATTTTTTACTGACTGGGGGCAAGCCTCACCTCATGTCAGAAGGTCCATGCAACATCCTATTAACCACTCAGCTCCCAAAACCTCTGTTCCAGTGCTCAGCCCACACACCAGACTATATGCCAGGTAGGATCATGGGAAGTGTGAGGTGACAAAACTAGAGGGTGGCCAAGAACATGAAAATAATTTAACAGTGCAGAAGAGACAGGCCATGTATTTCTAAAAGAAAAGTTACTCTCCTGTCAGAATTTGACCAGGAGACCAGATTTAACCTGCTCTTGTGAAAAGTATTATGATCATTAAGTATTCCATAAGTGGTCAGGATCTTTTGCTTCACATTTCACTTCACAGACATTTCCCTCAACTTCACAGAAAAATGAGACTGGTTAGTTTCACTTTTGTTTCTGATTAATTTCATTTCCCATTCTTATGCACTAGCTCAAGAAAAATTTAACATTGAAAACCACCACCACAATAAACCTGTGTTCACTGAAGATATAAAAAAAGATTAAAAATAGAGGAGGCATACCTTTATCTAACCATGTACAAAGGGATAAACCCTGGTTTAAAGAAGGTCTCAGGGACCATCCAAAATCTTCATAAAATTTGGGGTTGTGCTAACCGGGAGTTTCAGTCTACTGAAGCACCTAAGCTCCAAGGAGTTGCAGGTAAGTTCTTACGGAGTTCCACAAGAACATTTCAAGAACATAGCTGTAAAGGACCTCCAATCCTGCAGAAAGAAAAGGAGTACTTGTGGCACCTTAGAGACTAACCAATTTATTTGAGCATGAGCTTTCGTGAGCTACAGCTCACTTCATCGGATGCATACCGTGGAAACTGCAGCAGACTTTATATACACACAGAGACCATAAAACAACACCTCCTCCCACCCCACTGTCCTGCTGGTAATAGCTTATCTAAAGTGATCATCAAGTTGGGCCATTTCCAGCACAAATCCAGGTTCTCTCACCCTCCCCCCCTCCCCCCCACAAACTCACTCTCCTGCTGGTAATAGCCCATCCAAAGTGACAACTCTCTACACAACGTGCATGATAATCAAGGTGGGCCATTTCCTGCACAAATCCAGGTTCTCTCACCCCCTCACCCCCCTCCAAAAAACCCACACACAAACTCACTATCCTGCTGGTAATAGCTCATCCAAAGTGACCACTCTCCCTACAATGTGCATGATAATCAAGGTGGGCCATTTCCAGCACAAATCCAGGTTTTCTCACCCCCCCACCCCCATACACACAGTGTATCAAATAAATTGGTTAGTCTCTAAGGTGCCACAAGTACTCCTTTTCTTTTTGCGAATACAGACTAACACGGCTGTTACTCTGAAATCAATCCTGCAGAGTTTACTTCCAAATCTTCAGCACTTAGGATCCCCACAGGACAATAGCCTAAAGTTCTTTTATGGAGTTTAGAACTTCCACAAAAGTAGAGCCTCGGTCAGTAAAATCTTGATGGACATAACTCTGGCTTATCTGAAATTTGGTTATCAGGAGTTTGAGCTAGGCCGAATTTGAAAAATGTTTAACTGTATGTATACAAAACTAAATGTTGGGCCTAAACTATGTTGACCATGTCTCTTTAATAAACAAACTGTAGGAACCATGGCGTAGGATTTGCAATAGTGGATTGGCCCATGGGGTCATCTGATCTGATATTCTGCACTGGGTCACGACAAATGGTTTCACTTTTCTATGAAACATCAACTACCTCCCAATGCATCAGCAAGCTTTGCCATGTTATAGATAAAGAAGGAATACCTTCCGTTAACCCTGAAGCTTTTACCTTCTAAAAAGGTATGAGATACACCAAACAAATTAATCAGAATATTGCCTATTGGAGAGGAATGTGGAAGAAACATGAGAGGAAAGAAGACTTACCTTTCCGGAGGAAGGCTATCAGTGTTGCTGCTGTGCCGTCTCTGCATTTTCCTTAACACCTTGAAACACAGCACACTCAACATTAACGTTGCAGATCAGCAATCCCCAGCGGGACTAGTAACAAAGGCCCAGAGGGTCAGAGAGCTGTGACACCCATTCACCCAGTGACATGGTTAGCAAAAATCACCTGCTTCTCTGAACAGTGGTTCAGGAGTGTATCAGTTTTTTTGGCACACTAGCAAAAAACAACTCTTGAAAGGTATTCCGCTGACATTCGGTAGCGCACAGAAACAGCTCTCCAGTCGGGGCAGGAAGGAGCCAGATCACATTCTATAGCACCAGTAACAAAGTTGAAAGTCACAGGGACTTTAGAATCCTACGATGAGATGACCTGAGAAGGGACTCCAGGACAACCGACAGTAACCCTAGATGTGACATACAAATTGGCTGTTTTCTGTCTAGGAATAAGATCTTTTCCTCCTCTTCTTCTGAAGGAGTTTTCAGGGCAATGTAAAGCACAACAGGAGACGGGGGAAAGAAGTAATATTTTATGAAAAATGCAGTCATATCAGGACAACACAGTTTTATTTTTTGCTACATAGTGCATCCCTGGTAAATCACATAATTCAAACTAGCAAACTTTCCAGGCTTCCCTTAAATATGTGCATATATGAAAGATCAGATCTTCTTTTGGGCACTGTCAAGTTATTTAATAAACTAGGGTCTGGCGTAGGAGAAGATAAACACAGAGATTATAATAACCTTAGACCCTTGGCTATAGTAGCCTTTCACAGAATTGGGATGAGGTTTTATTTATTTTTTATTCTCTTTCAGGCAGCAATTTGGAGTCCATGAAACTATTTTTCTTAAATAATCATTCTGCTTGTTGACTTAAATCTCTTTGATTTAACTCAATCCACCCTAGTAAAGACATACCTTTATTCTGGTGATATTTCCCAACTCTCCCTCAAATATCCTAAGCTTGTTTGACGTGTAGCCTATACTTCGTGGGAAGCTATAGAAGAAAAAAAAAGATTTAACTTCAAAATTTTTTCTGCTCATTTTGCCTTTGTTGCCATATTCCTCATCCCTCATTCTTTATTCCTAAGGCCACACATGGAAACAGAATAAACATTTCTTTGGCCAAGAAGCAAAAGGCCATGCAAATTGTATCAAATACAGACTTTATCCATTACATTAAAAAATCCTGGTCCTCCAACTTACAACACGTGAGCCGACGGATGCACATATAGGGAAGTCAGTGGGGCTAGGTGCAGGCAAAGGAGTCCATCTGCATATTGTAAGATGCAGGAGCAGGGTCAAAATAAATATTTTACATAGAACCTTTCCTCCCAAAGCATTTCACAAGATTATATATATACACATAAAGATACACATATTTCCCCCCCATATACATCTCAAGGCTGAAATGCAGCCAGCTCAAAGGTGGAGCTAAGTGACAAACCAATGAGGAGAGAAGGATATTTTGGCTAGAATACACAAGCAGATGCCTGTACTATTAAAGAGTACCAAAGGATTTTGATATCTACAAAACCCAGAGAGGACCTTGGTTTGTAAAGCCTGATCCTGAAGATTACAGTTTACTGTGCATGTCTTTGTCCTATACCTCAGAAGGATGAAGGGCTGGATAAGAGTCAATAGCAAGAAGAGGATCTCAGCATTTCAAACAGCCATTCCATCTGACATTCTTTTACTGAATATTTTCATAATTAGAGAGAGAGAGAGTTGGGAAAACCACAAATTGTCTACTAATATGGCTGAAACTACATTATACAGAGAGTACACAGATGGGCTGACAGACTCGTGAGCTTCAAGAAAGTAATTCCATTCAGGAGCTTTGGTGACTCTCTAAACCACAAGGACTGTTCTGATTACAAACATCTTCTTTGTAACTCATGGCAGCCCTTTGTTTATATACATTTTTGAATCCAAGGTTGTGTTTTAGGGTTCAGAATATATTATAAAAGATACCCCGCCCCCTCCCCGCAAATAAAATTGAAGCTGCAATCATGGTGACAGTACTTAGCATTTTAACAATAATTTACCTTTTCTCCCCCCCGATGCTGTGTAAATGTTAACCCATTCTCACAACACCCCTGCAAGCTACATACACAATATTACCCCCCTTTTATAAATGGAGTGAGACAGAGAGTGGTTAAGTGACTTGCCCAAGGCCTCAGTCTGATCCATGCAAGCAGATTCCTGTGCCTATGCACAGCCACAGGGCTCCACGTTATAGCAGAGATCTGCCCATGCAGGTCTGATCGCAGGATGAGAGCAGAAGTCAGTGTGAGAACTCAGGAGTTCCTGACCCCTCTCCCAGCCCTGAGCTCAGTCTGTTGGGGCACCACTAGCTTGTGCTATAGGGTGACTATCCATCAATTTGTCTTTGCAGATGTTTTCCCCTACCAAAGGCAAGCATGGTCCTTTGCAGAGGGACGTCCTTTTAGGCATCAGCCATAGTGGGGGCAGTAAAGAGAACCGCAAAGTGTTAGGAACCAAGACTAACTCGGGATCCAATAGGACAGCTGATCTTTGGCCTTGTACCCAGTACTACAAACCGAAGGCCAGATACCATTGGGGTAGATACCATCTCAAAAGATACCTAACTTAAACACTGAATGATTGAGTTGTGTCTGGATTTGGCAGTTCCACATCCTGTTGTGACATATGGTAATTTTGCACCTGCTGTGCCATATGCTCACTAGCATTTATACCAGGAAAAAACGAATCAGGCTACATACTTCTTGCTAACAGAGGACTTTGGATAGTCAAAGATTGCACAGTATTCCAATGTTCACATCACAGGCAAAGAGTACCATACTAATTAGGTATAAGAACAGCATGCTCTAAGGGGTCATATTTGCAAAATAAATTGTTTTTATTTTTATTATTTGTATTTCAGTACTAACTAGAAGCCCCAGTCAAGGACTAAGGCACCATTGTGCTAGGTGCTGTACAAACACAGAATAAAAAGCAGACCTGCAAACCTTCTTGTCTGTTTATTATGCACACACACAACAGGGCAGGCCTGTCCCGAAGCCTCACAATACGCTGCAATTTGAAGCTAACCTAACAAGGGGAAGGCTGCAGAGTGTTTGATCTGATGACCGGCTATTTTCTCTGGCTGCGCTCAGGCTTCCCCAGCTATTACGAGATTTGACAAATGAAACTTGTGATGAAGGAGGTGGCTAAACAATTGCGGGGGGGGGGGGGGGGTTGGGTAGGGAAGGAGAGGAGAGGAATCTCCCCCTTCTTTGAACGCAGCAGCAAAATAAACACGGATACCACAGAGTCACCATCCCACCCTTTTAAAATGCAGGATTTCACTCTCGAAAAACACACCACGCTAGACAGGAGGACAGACAGCACCGAGCCCCTTCACCTACCCTCACAATCCAGCAATCACAAGCTCCATCGCCCAAACCCTGCCAAGCCAACGGGGAGAAACAAAGCCACCCACGTGACTGGTGACTTCCGATCCCCCCCCCCGCTTCCAGGAGGGACACAAAGTAACTTCCTCCCTCCCTCTTCTCCCGCGGCCTGTCAGGCTGGGGCGACGGGCGCCGCGGGTCCTGCGCCGGAGCGGGATCGGGATCCGGATCCGGATCCGGATCGGGAGCGCGTTGCGGGTGGGTTTCGGTTCCTTTGGTGCAGGTGACAGGAGCAGGGAGGGGGCGGGTTAGCGGCGCTGTAGCTTCCGATTCGGCGCTTCGGAATCAGCGACTCGGTTTGGGTTTTTTTTGGTTGATCCTTTTCTGAGAAAGGAGGCGAGGGTATTTCCCCCCCGTTGGATATGCTCGGTGGTTTGAGCATTGGCCTGCTAAAGCCAGGAGTTCAATCCTTGAGGGGGCCATTTAGGGATCTGGGGCAAAAATTGAGGATTGGTCCTGCTTTGAGCAGGGGGTTGGACTAGATGACCTCCTCAGGTCCCTTCCAACCCTGAGAGTCTATGATTCTATGTAGACAGGCCCAGGAAGCTCCTGGGGTCCCCATACACCACCCTTGTTTTAGGAGCATGCCCTGGGGGGAATGGGGCTGGCCAGGGAGGAGCGGGCTGGACCGAGACTGGAGGGCATGCTGGCTTGGCGAAGGTTCCCTCTCGAAACTAGTGTCTTTTGTTAGAGTGCCTCTATTTCAGGCTAAATCTGTGCGTAAAGATAGTTAGATGGACCTGGCTGCAGCTGAGACTTCCCTTTGCTTTTTAAGGTTACAGAACCCTCCTGAAGTGTGTTCCCCCCTAAACAGCTCGGTTTAAACATTTGCTCACGCAGGGAAAGCTGCGGCTTTTCTCTCTGTGTTTAGTCCCAAACTCCTGGTGAGGATTTTAAGCGATAGTTTTTATGTTCAAAGGGTTTTTTTGTTTTGTTTTTTTAGTGTTCTTCCAGCTCCTCCAGAGACTTCTCCGGCTGGTTCAGTGTGCAGCTGATTGATGCACTCCTGGAAACATTAGTTTACCTCTAGGAATTCTTTACATTCCCCGTCTAATGGAGCAAGTGCAGTGGCTGAAGGATAAATGAGAAAAATCCAGGGAGAATCAGAACCTGATGCAGATAGTGCAACAAGGGGAAAAACCCAACAGAGCAGTCTCAGTGAAGGTGCATATGGGAATGGTGCACTTTCTGTCAATGGTGTGGCGCAGGCTGCTGAGGAAGCGTTGGGTCCTGGGTATTGTATTTGGACTCTCCCTCATCTATTTCCTTACCAGTACCTTCAAACAGGTCAGTATTGCTTTTCTTCTTTGTCTTTTCCCCCCTCACTGCCCCATTTCTCTGTAAGTCAAGGCCCAGCCCTACAAAAACACTTAATGTCAAATATGGTGCTTATTACTGCTGGAAGCGCTCCCATCGTATGACTACAAATTTGAAATAAGTATTGCATCTGGTGATGGCTGCAGGTTTGGGCCCCTTGTCTGTAAGCTCCTTGAGATAGAGAACATCCCCCCACCCTGCCCTAAGTAAGGGTAAGTTTACCCTGTGTAAACTTGCAGCACATTGTTAGAGATTTTAAAAATGATTTCTCTTGCAGGTTGTAAATTATTTGTGGTGTTTAGCAGAGTGTCCTAAAAATAATATGCTGAAATACTAAGATTTTTTTTTAAAACTTGTGTTAATGATGGATCTCAAAATCTTATCATAGGTTCCTTTTGTTCCACCAACATCTTCAGTAAGATTTAAGGGGTACTGTTAGTAAGTTAGGAGCCTGAACCTGAAACTTTGTGTCAAGTGAACGTTTTACATCACTAATACCTTATAGCAACGTGTTCGTGGGATCTAAAGGGCAACTGGAAAGTTTTATGGGATCAAAGTATTCTCTTGTAATGTATGTTGTGAAATGCCATTCCAAGCAGGATAACAGCATTGTGCATAAGGGCCAAAAAGTAAAACTAACTGCTCCAAGCAAAGGCCCTAATTCTACATTAGGAGCCATGCAGGCATAAGGGCCTGTATTTGTAAATCTGGTTGAAGGATTGGGACCTCAGTGAGCTGCCGAAAGAGAGCAGATATCATAAATGGTGAAAACTAATGGGAGCTGAATACTTAACTCCCTTAGGTGACCATGAAAATCTCTACATGTGTAAATTCATTATTTTCTTAAATGAACTAACCTTCTTTTATTAAAGGTCAGGACATTTTCCCCCCTTGTAAATGAGCTTTGTTTAAAAATATCCCTGAAATTTGGTCTTTGTTTAAAGAAAAATACAGATTCCTGCTGGTGAGACTTGCTCTAGAATTGTTACAATCTTAGGATAAGTCCAACATGAGGCCTAAATTTCTTGACGCCTGTTGTATTTTCTTAAGCAGCACCCACATAAAACCCTATTCTTTTGGTCTGCAGAGCTGCTTTAAAGGTGCATGTGTAAGATGGGTTTCCAAAGGCAATCTTGAAATGTTTTGAGTATCTGTCCATCCTCAAATGGACCTCGCCTGGCTGGTCTTGAACTGCCTCTATCATATATCACAACATCTTTATTTGAGGTGAGGTAGAAAAAGCAGCTTTGTTTGTCTGACCTGTCTGGAGCGATAGTAGATCTTGCAAGGGAGTGTGTTTTAGTGACTAGAACATGGGGGCCAGGTGTCCGGATTCTTGGTTTCTGCCCTGGCTGCCCCACTCCCTATATGACTTTGAGTAAATCAGTTAAGCTAAGCCAAATTTTTACAAGTGGTCAGTGATTTTGGGTGCCGAGCATCTGCAGGACCTGATTTTCAGAGGTGCCGAGAAACTGCAGCTCTTTTTGACCTAAACTGAAGTCCTGGAAGGGCTGCACCAATGAAAATTAGACCTTAGGTGTTTCAAGTTACCCAAAGTTAGTGAAAAGAAAAAGAGTTCTTGTGGCATCTTAGAGAGTAACAAATTTATTTGAGCATAAGCTTTCATGAGCTACAGCTCACTTCATCGGATACTTCTGGAAAATGTAGGCTTTCAGTGCTATATGTCTCAGTTTCTCCCATCTTTAAACTGGGAACACAGCTAACCTCTCCAGAAGTGGGTAGCAAGGCTTACTTCAAAGTGAACACTGACCAAGTACTTTGGGATCCTTGGATGACAGGTACTACAGAAGTACACATTTTATTGTTCTTAGTGTCCCTGCTTTGTAAAGATGGCTGATGGGGGATGGAAAGGAGAGAGCATTCCTTGTGTTACTAGGAAGAGGGTGAAACAACTTGTAATGTAGGTTACTTAGAGAAGGGAATGCTACTTTTATGGCCTGAAATAATGTCTGAGGAACATTGTGTTAAATAGTTCTGCACTTAATATCTACAGCCCCCTTAATTTTTATGATGCTGGTTTAATGTTACACGCAATATGTGGTAAACCACTGTTTTTGACTGTCGGTGTGATATCTCATACTATGTTAGTTTCTTGCAGTTTCCTTCTGTCTTGGGAATTGCAACAATTAGAGCAAGGGTCTCAAACTCAAATGACCATGAGGGCCACATGAGGACTAGTACATTGGCCCGAGGGCCGCACCACTGACCAACCCCCCGCTGCCCTGGCCCTGCCCCCACCCCACCCCTTCTGTGAGGCCCCACCCCTGCCCTGCCTCTTCCCACCCCTTCCCTGCCCTGCCCCCGGTGCGCACTGGGCCGGAGCCACTCTAGGTAAATGCTGGAGGGGGCGCGGGGGTCTCGGGGAGCTGGCAGGCAGCAGAAAATAACGCTGCAGGCCGTGAGTTTGAGACCCCTGAATTAGAGTTTAGCTGAGGGAATGGAGCGCAGAGTTGAGTAAGAGAAGGGAACTGTGTGTTAACTTGCATTGCTGTGGTTTGTTGCAGGAAGAGAGGACAGTACATGATCGGAATCTTCTCCAGGTACAGGAACATGAGCCCATCATGTGGAAGGTGCAGTTCAGCCTGGGAAATAGCAGTCAGCTGAGTAACCAGTGCAGAAATTCTGTCCAGGGGAAGCTATTCGTTACGGATGAGCTGGGTAAGGCCACTGATAAGAGCCTTTCCTGCAAACCATAATGCTCAGCACTGTGTGTACCCTCTGATCTTTGCTGGGACCCTCAAGTAGCAATTCCCTCCACTCTCATGCATTCCCACTAGAGTAAATTCTTCTGTTGTAGAAATGTTGACTCAGATTTAAGAATTTTATTAAGATGTTAAAAAAAAAAAAAAGGTACAGAGTTTAAGCATAGAAGTTTCTGGTTATCAGGGAATAACATACAGATTATCAAGGGGTGTGAAGTTCAGTTTAAGGAATACATAATCTGCAATATCCCCTATTGGGGTTAAAAGGTTAACGGGTCAAAGTACAGACATTGAGATATGGGGGTACGTTGTTCATATAATGGCTATTTTCAGCTTCCTTGCAATAGGACACCCCCTTGAATTGAAGCACGGGATGTTCAGTAATGGCTGTAGGTACTTCTGGGGTGAATGCAGCAACTATCTTAACAGCACGCCAGAGGTAGTTGCATACATTCCTGATCACCCTTCACTTCATCTGGAGACCATTTTCTATTATAGGGAAGTAGCATTTGAGACATTTCCCATAACAAAATAATTTACTCTAGTGGGAATGCACTAAAGTGGAGGGATTGCTACTTGAAATTTGAATTTAGCCAGGACAGTAAAAACTCCAGTCATTGCACTTTTACGTATTTTTAAAAACACCATGCTTGGAATTTTGGTTCAGTGTTGACTTGGGGAAGTGAGTAGAATGCTTTCTGCAGGATTCACCTTCTGTAGCACTTAAATGGACTCATCCAAATTCTGAAGCTGACCCCATCCCTCCTTAGCTTCTGAGATCTAACTGGTTCATAATGTGAGATGGCTTAAGTGTAGGCGACATTTCCACCCTAGTTCCTTTTCATGTTTTATTGCAACAAAACCCTAAGATCACTGGCCACCCATCCTTATCAAATGGTCATTTTAAAGTTGTTTGAATGTATCTAACTGGTCTGCCCCTAATAGGAATGCAGAGGGCATATTTCATAATGGCATCCATTAGAGGTAAAATACATGCAGTTTTTCTTTTAAAGGTACACTACAAACATCATCTTT